TGTTTCTCAAAGTGTAATTAACTACCCCTTTGAGTGACTCAGATGTTCCCTAAAGTTTAAGAACCACAAATATGAGGTGATTTAAACATAAATTCTTCCATTCTGCTACCTCAGGACGGTTAAATATAGGTATGTTACTTAAAAACATTAACATTGTTTGCATTCTGGTAGAATGCAGAAGTTCATAGATCAAAGGGCTGTTTTAAAGATTAAGTAAAACGCATGAAATATATGTAAAATGCTGAGCATATTTGCTAGCATGTAGAAATGCTTAGTAAATAAAATCTATTATTATTATCATCAAACAGTTAATAAAATGAACAATCTGTATATTTCAGGCAATTAAGTCACATTTGTTCAGTTCAAGTAGCGGAATTCCTGTTTTTGCTTTTGAAAAGTCCTTGCATTTGCTGTTATCCTAACAGTGCCACATCTCTTCACCTTCCCGTTCAGGGTTATTTTGCCTTTAGCAAAACCTGGGAGGTAAATTAGTTCATTGCATCATTTACTCTTAAGAAACACTTAAATTTGTGTTCTCCTGCCAAAGGTGACTTGCCTTTGAAGGTGTCATTGCCCCAGGGAAGGTATTTTGTAGGTGTAGAAAACATTAAGTAGTCATATAAGACTTCCAAATAAGGATGGCATGAGGCCAGGAGCAGAAAGCAGTACGCTCAACACTACTGTAAGCAAACATTTGTAGTCAACCTATTAAAAAGATCTAGTATCATATGTATGTCTCATGGATTATGACTCTCTACCATGGAGGTGAGTCTAATTTAAGAATTATTTTTCCATTATATTAGGAAGTCATTTCAAATGATTCGTATTTATTAAGTGCTTGGTATTTTACATGTGAATTTTGAACTGCACAGTAACCTTTGTAAAATTTCATCCACAAATGATACAAAATAAAAGTCTCCATATTGTCCACGTGTATTCTAAAGATGTAAGATGTGGGCTGGTCCATCCAGAACCAGCAGGCTAATGGATCTTGAATAAGCAATCAATTCATTCAAATTACTGAGTTCATAATACTAGATTTTTTCACTGAACAGTATGGCTGTTTCAATAAATTAACCATGTTATATTAATATCTTGTGGACATAGAGGCACTTTCTCTGCAGAAGACAGAGTGGCAGAAGAAAGAGAAAAGGACATTGTGGAAGAAAATTCTATGACTTCATGACAATGATCTCTATTTGTGCTTACAAGTCATTGTGAATATGGAGGAGACTATATTAAATTTCCCTACAAGCATCAGAAAGGACATGATTTTGGGATCAACAGCCGCAGAATTCCTCAAATATTTTCTAAATAAAGGGCCTGGAATAAATAATAAAAATACTGGGGGCAAGATATTTTGTTACTTTAAAAATAAGGAAGAAAACTTGCCTTTTCTTTCTCTGAAGGATGCACACATGTACACCTAGAAAACTATCCATCGCCTCTTCCTGGAGGGGAAATATTTCTCCCACTTCTGGAAAATATATATGTATATTTAAAAAAAAAAAGGCTTCACTCAATTTCAGTTACCTTATTTAATAGCCTAGCATTAATTTGTTCCACAATTGACCTAAAGAAGAAATACTTATAAGCATCTGTCCATAGTCTCACAATTTACTGAGTTAATACAGATTTTTAATTAAGGGCTAAATGTTTCACTTAACAAGTAAATGTGTTTATATATCCATAATGTCAATAAATTCCGTATTAAAAATGCTTTGTATAATATTTAGTAAAAAAGGTCAAGCTGTATTAACTCTATATACATGAGAGAATTAAGTAATACATTTAAACTGACCTATTAGGGGCCGGCCCTGTGGCTTAGTGGTTAAGCGCGTGCACTCCGCTGCTGGCGGCCCGGGTTTGGATCCCAGGCGCGCACCGACGCACTGCTTCTCCCGCCATGCTGAGGCCGCATCCCACATACAGCAACTAGAAGGATGTGCAGCTATGACATACAACTATCTACTGGGGCTTTGGGGGAAAAATAAATAAATAAAATTAAAAAATAAATAAAATAAACTGACCTATTAAATTATATGTTACAGTATGTTGAAAAGCCTAATTTATTAAAATATTATACATCACAATTTTTCACAGCAGAGGAGGATATAACAGATTTACTTATTTCTTTACTACATTTTTATTTTAAAGTAAAGAGTCATGGTTACAAATTATATTGTTATTTATTTATACACACAAAAATGTGTGTGTATGTTTATCATCTATTTATTTACCTTAGAATTTCACCTTCATTGTTCCAGAGAATTCAGTCAAATGATCAAATTGACATTTTGAGGGGCCGGCCCGGTGGTGCAAGTGGTTAAGTGTGCATGCTCCGCTGCGGTGGCCCGGGGTTAGCCGGTTCGGATCCCGGGTGTGCACCGATACACTGCTTGTCAGACCATGCTGTGGTGGGCTTTCCATATAAAGTGGAGAAGGATGGGCATGGATGTTAGCCCAGGGCCAGTCTTCCTCAGCAAAAAGAGGAGGATTGGCAGATGTCAGCGCAGGGCTGATCTTCCTCACACACACACACACAAAATTATTTTGAGCTATGGCTTTCTAGCTACTGTTAATGTGGGGAAAAATAGCAACTAATGATATAAACTGACAAATTAAAATTAAAAATTTTGTTTTAATGTGAAAAATGACTTGGGAAATTATTTCAAAACTCATTTATACACAAAATATCTTTTTTTAAATCTGTAACTCCCCTCTTTTTTGGGGGGTAAGATTGGCCCTGTGCTAACATCTGTGGCCAATCTTCCTCTTTTTCTTTTTTCTCCCCAGAACCCCAGCACATAGTTGTATACCCTAGCTGTAGGTCCTTCTAGTTCTTCTATGTGGAATGTCGCGTCAGCATGTCTTGATGAGCGGTGAGAAGGTCCGTGCCCATGATCCTAACTGGTGAACCCTGGGACACTGCAGCAGACCATGTGCACCTAACCACTATGCCCAGGCCGGCCCCTATGCACAAAATATCTTTTAATTATTTGAGTAATCTAAGAAGATTTATAATTTAAAATATATAAATAAATAAAACAAAAAAGATAAGTAACTGACTCCTTATCACATATATAGGAAATAAATGATTCTTAAACCAGGACGTCTGTATTCTGAGTGCAGAGTTCTTTATCCATACATCCCTGCATCAGTAAGATGCATCTGAGGGTGGTTCAAAGTTACAATGGAGGCAGAGAGAGCCTGTAGGCAAGGAACCAGGGTGCTGTGGCAATAATAGGAGAAAGATATCTTAAACAGTATATAAAACAAGGGGCTGCATATACTATATAGAAAGTAATGCAAATCACCAAGGTTTAGGTAGATGCTGGTGTTACTGTGTGTTGTGCCAGCTCGAGTGTGGATGCTCATGTGATGGAGGTAGCAATTTAATGAGCCATTGGCACTGACTTTCCACAGGTCCCTTAAAGAGACTGCCTGTGTGTGAGATGGCTCTGCAAGAGGTGGGCTCTGTCTGCCACCTAATTTTTATAGCATTAGGATATTCACAAAATCAAATCCTTCAGGTTATAAAACCTCATCACTATTTCTGTCTCTGCGGTAATATATTACCAGACAATTCTAGACAACAGGCTCAGAGATTATATCTCTAAAGCTTTGAATGCAATATTTCTGGACTGTCCATATCAGAACTAAAAAGTTCTGCAAATCTACACATGAACAAAAGTGGTAAGTTTGTGCATTTTTCTGCTAATAAAAGAGGAGAACTGGCTCCTTGCACCTGTGTGGTCTTCTGCTCTTTATGCGTTTACAAGTTTTATTCTTAGTATAGACTTTAAAAAATGGCAAGCTCTTAAAATCGTACTTATGTTCAGTGTATAACAGCTTTCAGCCTTCGAACCCTTCCTAGTAAAGCCATGATCATTTCTGTGGGCTCAGTCATTTTGATGGTGTCTCCTAAGAAAATAGATCTGTTTTGTTAAATATTAAACAACTACTTTCAAAAGATATGCCAAATTTAGATATTTTTAAAATGTTGCTTTTTTTTTCTTTTCAGATATATTTATACTCTACCTGTGACTAATAATTATGCTCCATGGTAATAAAATTGTTTTAAAATTGTTTCCTTGTCCTTTTAATTATCTTACTCCTTATTATAATTATTGCTATGTTCTCCAATCATTTATGAGATCCTCTCATGCTTGCCTTTCATATTTGCCTGGTCATTGAAAGGCAGCATATGGTGTGGTGAAATGGTGTGTAGGGCGTGGGTCCAAGTCCTAGTAAGCTGGGGAAAGATATTTATATTTTATTCCAAGTGTGTGGGAACACACTTAAGGTATTGGGAGTGATGAACTAGAATAGTTGCATTTTAAAATTCAGGTAAATAAAAATAGTTATTTAATAAGATGAAGGAAGAACATTTTCATCAATTATTGGGGATATTATCTTCCTTCAGTGGGGAAATTTTGTTTTACTTACGCTCACCTGTTCCACTCTGTGGTCTGTGTAACCCACAGTGAAACAACTGTAATTTCTTGTTTATTAAAAAAGAACTAATTTGAGTATGTTAAGATTTCCAAAATTTGAAAAAAAATTCATCTATGACTCAAACAAATATAAACGACAAAGTTTTAAATGAGTGTTTATTTTCTCAACTGGTTAATTTTGGTTTCAATATACATAATGAAAGCACAATAATAATAATAATTAAATAACATACAAAAATAGCCAAAGTAACTATTCATGTGTTTATAGTCCTTAACAGTTCTTTCTACTTTTGATCCATTTTGGTTATTATCTCAATCAACCAATATATCCTTGTGTGAAATATATAGACTAACCACATTTAAAACAAAAAATTGAGGTAAAGAGAAGTGGAATGATAGGTCAAGAAGAACCATCTTAACTGGGAGGTAGGGCTTTGAATCAAGACCTGGGATTCCATATCCAGTACATGTCCAGAAGTTATGAAATCAAACTAAGGTTTTTAGATGATGAATGCCCCTTCCTTCTTTTTTTTCCATTTGCAGTACAACACCAGAAGAAATCATAGAGAAGAGGAACACAACCTCAGACTTCATTCTTCTAGGACTCTTTAAACACACAGGACTCCACCTCTTTCTCTTCATGTTGGTGCTGACAATGGCCATTGCTTCTTTAGTGGGCAATGCCCTCTTGCTTCTCCTGATTTACTGGGATCCGTGGCTACACACACCCATGTACTTCCTACTGAGCCAACTCTCCCTCATGGACTTGATGCTGGTTGCCACCATTGTGCCCAAAACGGCTGCTGACTACTTGACTGGCAAGAAGTCCATCTCCCCTGCTGGCTGTGGGTTGCAGATCTTTGTTTCACTCACATTGGATGGTGGAGAGGGTTTTCTCTTAGCAGCAATGTCTTATGACCGCTTTGTGGCTGTTTGCCACCCACTGCGATACCCTGTCCTCATGAGCTGGCAGTTATGCTTGAGAATGACTTTGGGGTGTTGGTTCCTGGGGGCAGCTGATGGGATCATGCAAGCTGCTGCTACCCTGAGCTTCCCATTTTGCAGCGCTCATGAGATTGATCATTTCTTCTGTGAGGCCCCCATGCTGGTGCGTTTGGCTTGTGCCAACGCATCATTCTTTGAAAATGTAATGTATATCTGCTGTGTGTTAATGCTTCTGGTCCCCTTTTCCCTCATCTTGACTTCCTATAGTCTCATCCTCTCTACTGTTCTCCAGATGCATTCTAGAGAAGCCAGCAAGAAGGCTTTTGTTACCTGCTCCTCACATTTGGTTGTGGTGGGATTCTTTTATGGAGCTGCTATTTTTATTTACATGAGACCGAAATCTTACAGGTCAGCTAACCATGATAAGCTTGTGTCAGCATTCTATACTATCTTCACCCCTGAGCTGAACCCCCTCATTTATAGTCTGAGGAACAGTGAGGTCAAAGTAGCCTTGAAAAAGTGGCTGGGGAAATGTGCAAATTTAAAATGCCAGCAAGCTTAGTCCCACTCTTCAAGGTTACTCAATGTTAAATGAGTCTAATTTCCTGAAATCATTAACATTTAAACATATTGTAATTCTCTCTCCTTTAGTAATGCATGAAGAGAAAGTTAAATTCATTGATAAGTATAATAGGAAGTTGTTAAGAATTAAGGGAGACCACTATATTGAGAGATACTATTTCTTTAGCACTTACTATTTGCTATGCTCCACACTAAGCAATTTTTATAGATTATTTTGTATCCTATTAACAACTATATGATATACCATGATATACGTACTTTGACACCCATCTTCTAAATGAGAAAATGGAAGCATGAAAAATTAAATATTGTTCCCAATATAACACAGCAAGTAAATGTTAAAATGTGAATCCCAAGCTTGTCCCCTAACAAGGTATGCTTTATTTATGTCCTGCAATTTATTATTTTTTAATTATTATTATTTTTTTTGCAGGAGAAGATTCATGCAAAGCTAACATCTTTTGCCAATCTTCCTCCTTTTTCTTCCTTTCCCCTACCCCAGAGCCCCAGTACATAGTTGTGAATAGGTGTAAGTCCTTCTAGTACTTCTATGTGAACCGCTGCCACAGCATGGCTATTGACAGATGAGTGATATGGTCCTACACCCAGGAACTGAACCTGGGCCACCAAAGTGGAGCGTGCTGAACTTTAACAACTAGGCCATCAGGGCTGGCTCCCAGTGAGTTATTTTAAACACTATGTTTTCTATGTCTTTGCTCCATGCATTTATAAGAACTAAATATAGGAATGCCACCAAAGACAAATGAGAACACTACTATTTAACTATAATTTAAAATACAGGCCCATGGCAAAGGAAAAAGTGCACAACTTAAATATGTGTTATATAGTTGCCGTTTTTAAAAAAAAACAGTCTTCCACAGTCTGTTTTATTTGGAGTCTGAAGGCAAATCTTTTTAATTCATGTAACTTTTCATTTAAGTAATATATATCTTTCCCCAGGCTCTAGTTGTAATTGCAGTGGCCAATCTGTTTTACAGTACACCAATACTAAATTTTCTTTCTTGGAACTGATTGTATGACTGATATTTAGATGTTATGTTGATTTACGATGGACATGGGGTCCATGGATATGAATTCAGATGCGTAAACTGCTTAGTCTTTTTTGTTTTGTTTTGTTTATTGCAGTAACATTGGTTCATAACATTGTATAAATTTCAGGTGTACATCATTATACTTCTATTTCTGCCTAGAGTACATCATGTTCACCAACCAAATACTAATTACAACCCATCACCACACACATGTGCCGAATTATCCCTTTCACCCTCCTCCCTCCCCCCTTCCCCTCTGGTAACCACCAATCCAATCTCTGTCTCGATGTGTTTGTTTATTGTTGTTATTATCTACTACTTAATGAAGGAATAGAAAATGTGATGATAATGAGTTATCAAACCTGAATAAGAGTCAACCATCTTTTTCTTATAAATTATATGGGTCACCTTACCTCTGCAAATGTCCAAATAACTAGAACTATTTATCATATAAAATATGGGGACTTTGAAAAGAGAAGAAACAAAACTATTTCTTCTGTCTGTTAGATGGAGACACAATCCAGGCAGATATGGCAGAAAGCTGTGGTCATCAAGGCCAAATTATAATCAGAAACTGCATAACAAGGTGGCTTTGAGAATTTTACGATGGAGCCTAAATTTTCTATAGTTGTAACAAACTTAAAAAATAAATAAAGTTTTAAACGTACAAAGAAAAATAACCCCAGAAAGAGCTTCCAGGGACAATGAATCGAAATATGAGTTTCTGAGAGTTAAAATGGCATTTCAAGTCCACCTAAATTCCAACATGAATGTTTTAGAACAACACAGGAAATTTCCAGCTTCATGCAGAGATGCAAGTACCAATATCACATGCATATTCGTGATAGTACCTTAACCAATGCATGTAGATCCTGGGTCCATGTCCAGAGAGATTATTTGGGAAACTCTACACTTCTAGAAGGAATTGAGGACATCAGAAGAGAGCAGCCACCTTTTTAAGACTAAGAGTTTGCTTGCCTTGTTTATTATTCTCCTCATCCTGTCTTAGGATGAAAAACAGGAACGCAATTTCTTAATGTTCTGTCAATTATGTCATCAAAATTTTTTCTTCTCTTTAATGAAATTGATACAAATAAATGCAGTCATGAAAATTTCATTATTTGTATAAGATTCATTTACCATCAGAAAAATAGCTTTGAAAACATATTGATTAGAAAATGGTATATTAAGTCCATAAAATTTGATAAGATAAAAATATTTCAACAAAACAACTATTCAGCCTGATGTATAGCATGAAACTCAAACAAGAAAAAGAAACAATAACCAAATAACGTTATCTCCAAGAAAATATAAGACATTAATAAAAATTGACCAGATACTTGTAAAAATAGCAGTATATTTCAGAGAAATAGTATAGACCAGTTATCTGACTGTAATGAAATTAAGTATGAAATCAAAGACAATTTAAAAATGGTTTTGAAAATTCTGTACCCATTTCTTTATTGTTTTGATTGCTTTTGAAAACTTTTACTCAGTTTTTTTTTTTTTTTGAGGAAGACTAGCTCTGAGCTAACATCCGATGCCAATCCTCCTCTTTTTGATGAGGAAGATTGGCCCTGGGCTAACATCCGTGCACATTTTCCTCCACTCTATATGGGATGCCGCCACAGAATGGCTTGACAAGCATGCATCAGTGCGCGCTCGGGATCTGAACATGCGAACCCTGGGCCGCCAAAGCAAAGCGCGTGTACTTAACTGCTACGCCACAGGGCAGGCCCCTACTCTAGTTTTTAAATAAATACTTACATAGAAAATTTTCAAAAGGTATTACTGATGTGTTTTCCATAGGCATCTAAAAATAAAGGAATATCATGCAGAGGCAGTATATACAAAGCCATGAATACTAAGAAAATTTGAACTGGGGAATTACCTTGAATATATCATCTTCGAGGTATAATTTACTTACAGTTGATATGGTTTTTAATTAATTTAGTTAACACAAATCTCAAGCATACAGCTTGATGAATGTTACATGTGTACATGCCTATGTAACTACAACAAAGATTTAGAATACTCCACATTTCTAGTACCCTTGGAGACTTCCTTTTGTTTTTCCCAATCAAAAACTCCAAAAAGGCAATCACTATTCTAACATACCATCATTAATTATGCTATGCTTCTTTTGCTCAATATTATGTTTTAGAGATTCATCCATATCGCTTTTCGATATTCTACACATGTGAGATCATATAATATTTGTCTTACTCTGTCTGACTTTTCATTTATCATAATACCCACAAAGTCAGTCAGTGTTGTCACAAATGCTTGAGTTTCCTTCTTTATTATGGCTTAGTAATACTCCATTGTATATGTGAATATATATATACACACACATATATATGAAGCTTAGGTTGTTTCCAGGTGTTTGCTTTTGTGAATAATGCTGCAGTGAACATGGGTGTGCAGATATCTCTTAGAGATTTTGATTTCATTTTATTTGGATATATACCCATAAGTTGGATTGCTGGACCATATGGAAGTTCTATTTTTAATTATTTGGGGAATCTCCATATAGTTTTCCTTAGTGGCTGTACCAATTTACATTACCAACAACTGCATAGAGCTCCCTTTGCTTCACACCCTCAGTAGTGCTTTGTTATCTCTTGTCCTTTTGATGATTTTCATTCTAGCAGATGTAAGGTGACATCTCAACGTGGTTTTGATTTGCATTGCCCTAATAATTAATGATATTAAACATCTTCTCATGTCTTTTTTGGCCATTTATACGTCTTCTTTAGAAAAATGTCTATTCAGATCCTTTGTCCATATTTTTAATCAGGTTATTTGTATTTTTGTTATTAAATTGTAGGAGTTTCATATTTATTTTGAATCTTAACCCCTCATCACATATATTATTTGCAAATATTTTGTTTTTTTAGTATGTTGTCTTTTCATTTTTTGGTTATTTATTTTATTGTGCATAAGGTTTTTAGTTTGATGCAATCCTACTTGTTGATTTTTGCTATTTTTTGTCTATGCTTTTGGTGTCATATCCAAAAAAATCATTGCGAAAACCAATCAAGGTCTTCTAAGACCTTGTCTTCTAAGAGTTTTATGGTTTCAGGTCTCACATTAAAGTCTTTAATCCATTTCCAGTTAATTTTTCTGAGCATTGTAACATAGGGGTCCAGTTTCGTTTAATTGTTTGTGAATATCCAGTATTTCAAATACCATTTATTGAAGAGACAATCCTTTCCTCATTAAGTATTCTTGGCTTTCTTGTCAAGTACTAGTAGACCATATATGTATGGGTCTATTTCTGGGCTCTCAATTCTGTTCCATTATTGTATATTTTACTTTTATGTTGGTACCATCTAGTTTTGATTAGAATTGCTTTGTAATATAGTTTGAAATCAGAAAGGGTGATACCTCTGGCTATATTATTTTTTCCCAAGATTGCTTTGGATAGTCAATGTCTTTTGTGATTCCATACAAATTTGAGGATTTTTCTTTTTCTATTTCTGTGAAAATGTTATTGGAATTTTGATAGAGATTGCATCTTTGGATAGTATTGACATTTTAACAATATTAATTCTTCTGATCCATGAATATGGGATATCTTTCCATTTGTTTTTGTCTTGCTCAAATTTTTCTTATAGTTTAGAGTGTATAGATCTTCTGCCTCCTTGGTTAAACATATTCTTAAGTATTTTATTGTTTTTGATGGTATTATAACTAGGATGTTTTTAATATCTTTTTCAAATATTTTGGTGTAAGTGTATAGAAATAAAACTGATTTTTTATGTTGATTGATTTTGCATCCTGCCACTTCACTGTATTAATTTATTCTATGACTTTTTGATTAAGTCTTTAGGATTTTCGTACATAAGATTATATTGTCTGTGAACAGAAAAATAGTTTATTTTAACCTTCTGATTTTGATGGCTTTATTTCTTTTTCTTAACTAACTGCTTT